GGTTAGGTCATCATTTGTAAACTTGAAGGACTACTGGAATTTTCGGCTTTCTGAAACAATAACGGAAAGAGGTATCGGAAAAAGTTGAGCTTAGAACGCGCGCATTTTCAGAGCTATAAGAGCACTCTTACTAACTGAAGTATTTGGAAAGAACTTTTACATATCTGAAGCTGCTCGTTAAAACGAGCACATTTTGCAAGTCCCTTAATTAGCCCATTGTTATACCTAGGTTCCACTGTATATTGTCATATAAGCTGCTGTCGAGCTCACTATAGACGTCAGACCTAATTTCCTTCGTTAAGTCGTAAGGTTTTATTAATTTGGCAGAAGAACTTGTTGCGATCCGTATTGGAGTTACAAGACAAAAAACATTGAAGATTGAGTTTTAAAATAAATGGTGGCAAATTCATTTGACACAAGCTACGTCACATAAAAAATATTTATGGAGCTAATATGACAAGAAGTTAGGTTGACTTTGAAATTGGTAGAAGATAACTGACAATGCAATCGACTTTTTCCGTTCTCACTATGGATAATTGATTGTCTTAAAAGGGTTAGCTGAAATGGTCAGTCATTCTTATACTCAGGTGAACAAGCGCCGGCGTCAGTTAGTTAATTATTCAGCTGAACACTATATATCAAGCATTTATATTATCGCCCTCAGTTTTTAGTCAGCTGATTGTAATGCCCCCTCACACGCCTTTGATATTTTCTTCCATAGGACAAAGCAACCAGCCAACCAACTGAAAAACGTTTAGTTAAGGTGAGCATTTTTGCATACTTTTATCAGACAATTACAGATCAAATAACGTTTTAACGCGGCTTTAATTATATACAAGTTAAAAAAATACAATTTAAAGAAACGGTTCGTGTTCCGTTAGTGCTCGAATGGTAGACCGCGCGGCGATATAATCATTGTGAGTGCCGATCAAGTAGGGACCATTTAATGTGGGCTGATTGAAAGAAGAAGTTCAATTTAACAACTGAAAGTTTAATTCAGAACCTTTTTTTAAGGCGGTACGTATATTAAGCGGAAAAAATGATAAGCAAAGGCAATTATTTAAGTATTTTATCTTAAGTGCAATATTTCCCAAAACAGGTGTTCAGATAATTTAAGACCGTATTAATCGAGCCGGACGTTATTCTTCGCCGGAGTAACATCCAACGAAGAAGCCTTTTACAAGCCTAATTGATATTTTGCAAACTCGTTTTCCGCTTCGTCAGTGGAGGCATCCAGCAGAGAAATTTGTGAAAGGTTAGTTACACACAAGAAGAAAAGAAAATGCAACTCTATCGTAGAGTTAAGCATTTATTTAAGACCCGCATATTTTTAAACCTAAGTCTTACTAATAGACCACTGTTTAGGACATTCATAGGACCTTTTGACTTTTTCAAACACGGTGGTAGGGACCGGCGCGTTACGGTTGAATTTTTTCTGTAAAAAAAAGCTATTCGAGGAGGCACAGACGGAATTGTCTGGAAATTTCTATAGCTCGAGAGAAAAAATTCAGATAAAAAATTTCCATTGACGTCTCAGTTTTTTGAAGCTTTAAGTCCATTAATTTTTCTACGATTTTCTGAAGTTCGTTTTTCACCTTTTACTTCCCAGGTTTGATCATCATTCCTAAAAAAAGGACTACTAAAATTTTTGGCCTTGGAAACAGTAACGGACAGAGGTATCACAAAATGTTGAGTTTTTAGTAAACTACACAAAAGCATTAAAGATTTTGGAACAGTAATGAGAAGGAGGTATTAAATTCGCATAGACTAAAGGTCGCTCTAGAACTGTTACAAAACAGTTGAAAATTTAATAGTGCTTCTTAGAAAGCATTTGCAAAGCTTTAAAAAAATCTTAAAAGATATCCTGAAATGATTATAAGAGGATTTTTGAGAAGGCTGGCTTTGTTCATGATGCGGTTGTTTCAAGCAGCACCATGTTTCTCTCGCTCCTCACTATGCCTACACATAAATGCTCGCAATGTTTAAATACAGGGATTAGCCGAGCTGAAAGCGACTTAGGCTCTCTTCATTTTTTCATATGAGAAATTTCAGTTCCGTTAACCGAGTGAAATTGTTTACGTATAAAGTTATGAATATATGAAAATCATATATGAGAACTGAGGGGTGAAGAATTATATGGAGGAAGATCATCGCAGTTATAGACGCAGCTTTTGCAGCTGGGAAAAGAAAGCCTTTTGCAGTTGCGTCTATAACTGCGATGATCTTCTTTCATATAATTGTTTATGTATAGTTTGCATCAACGTAGAAAAACTGTTCAAAATCAAGAGTTCCCTTTTTATGATAACCTTTATAGCTTACAAAAAAGGAAAACACGTCCATTAAACTTCCCTTGTTTCAGCAGAGACGCATGCGGAATAAAAACTAAACCGTTCGTCCCAACAACCGATACTGTCGATCAGCGTCCTAATGTATCTCCATTAGTGACATTTGCGGAACTAACATCAACCTTCTTTGTCCACGTTCTTTACAGAAATATTTTTCAAATTCTTCTGAAAGGTAGACGAGCAACAGAGAGAAAAAGGGAATTAAAAGTGCGAAGCGAAAAAAATAACAAGCCATGATATCATCCTGCTGCATCACCTGGCTCGCTGTATTCGTTACCATGTCTGTTGCTATAGTAACAGTGAAACCGTAGTCTTCGCACTCGTGCCATGTACTTAGTTATAAACCTGACCATAGTTGATATGTTTGTCGGAGGATTTTCTCACTTTTCTTTATTTGTAACCTTTCTCTCAGTCATGCGACATTGTGCAATTTCCGCACTTAACCCTGGAACTGACATTAACAACTGGCTTTCTCTTCGTCTGGTTTCCTCTGACCTCTCTTACAAACATTGCAGTAATTTCATTGGATCAGATGCATGCAACAATTCGTCCCTATACAGCCCTTAGGCATCGCCTCAGTAAAAAGTGAGTCTACGGGGTAACAATTGCTGCTCTCGTCTGGGTTTTACCCGCAATGTTTATTATAGTAATCCCTAAGAATCGAATGTTTAACCAAAGTTCTATATTTAGCACATCTAGTGGACCTTCATTCTTTTCATGTGGTAGCCCGGGGCACCCAATTACGACTGCTTTCTGTGAAATAGCTGTTCGAAGAAGCACATATTATCTAGAGATTTCTCCCGGAGATTTCTATAGCTCGAAAAAAGTTCAAAATTCATAGATGAATGTATCATTCATCTCAGTTTTTTGAAGTTTTCAGTCTATTAACTTCTCTGTTGAAGAAAAAGATGTACATCGGAAAATGTTGAGTTTTCTGTATATTTAATAGTATCAAAGATTTTCGAAAAAGTAAAGCCGCGCTAATAAATTCGCATCGGCTGAAGAAGCCCAAGGATGACCAAACAGATACAAATTTCATAGAGTTTCCTAGAACGCATTTGCAGAGCTGCTTTTTAAAACAACAATCTTAAAGATATCCTTAAATGGTTTGAGTAAATTTTGGAGAGGGGCGGGGTGGGATATGGTGGACGGGTTGTAGAGCGATGTTTCTTTCCTCCTCACTAAAATATATACTTACCTAAAAATACTTGCAATGGAAAATTTTAAAATACAAGGATTGTCCGAGCTAAGCCGCGACTTAAGGCCCTCCTCAGTCATATTTTCATCGAGAAATTTCAGCTCCTTTAACCGAGTGAAATTGTTCACAAGGACAGTTTGCATGAAACATGTAATCAGTTTTTTTTCCGGTCTCACTATGGACATTTGATTGTCTTAGAAGGGTTAATTGAAATGATAGTCACATTTTCAATTTGGTGATCAGTTACTCCCTACATACCAAACAGATCTTCAATATTTTTAAAGAGCGAAATAAAAATGTTAGAAAAGTATTAATGTAATAGATTCAAATACAATTTTAGCCACAGTTAGATTGTTAGTTAACTAGTTACTTAGTAGTACCCTTTGCATTTTACCACGAACATTTTTTGCTCCTGATGTAATAACATATGTTTAGCTGTATATATCTAGCCGGCTTTTTGAAAACGTTATCGTCAAATGGACCTTTTCCGTCCAACAGTTTTTTTCGGCCAAAAACTATATCCAAAGTAGCTCATTATAAAAATTAAAGTGCAACCATTGCTTTTTGCTGATCTCCTCGCTCTTTCTTTTTCTCCTTTCCTTTTCTTTCGTTACTGTGATTTTGGAGCCGTTCTCGCGCTTAAGAAACCTGCCTTTTGACGCCTTTTCACTCAAATGACTGCAAATTTCGTTAGGTTGGTTTTCCAAAAATCGGTTAGATATACAGGGGCACCCAACGGCAATTTTCGGGAAAATATCTGTTCGGAAGACGATTTGAGATCTAGAATTTTCGGAGCATTTGTTGTAAAATTTCTTGCTGGCTGAAATTTTCGAGAAGGTAAGTTTTTATCCCTATAATTTTCGGATCACTAGACTTTCAGCTAGGAAATCCGAACAGATGAAAAGTTTTTAGGCGATAAAAATATGCCTATATCTACCGTTTAAATACTAAAATACGTTCAACAATGCTATGTTTAGTGGTTTTGAACTATATCCTCTTTGGGTGCCCCTGGATATACTATAATATATTTTATCTGCAGATGTAGAGCCATTTTCTTTGGAAATGCTGTAAATAACCACCACCTTCATTATAATAATAATAATAATTATTATTATTATACTCAGGTGAACGTCGAGCGCTGACGTTAATTCAGTTTTAAGAATATTCAGCTGAAATGAAATTTAATGCCCTCAGCTTTTAGTCAACCAATTTATCCAAATATACCTAGCTTCAAACGTCACTGATATTTTTTCCACAGGTGAAAACAAGGATTTTCACTTCATCTTTTTTGAAGGCAATTTGAAAAACTGTAAGTTAAAGGTGACTTCCTAATTCGTGGAATTATTATTATTCATGTATCTTCATTACTGATCTTTGAAAAACAGACGTCAACCTTGTTTGTTCACCTCCTACTGAAAAAGTGTGAAGCGAAAAGGAGTAAAAGAAGAAAACAAGTCATGCAATTTTCTTCATCTGAGTGCATCACCTGGTTTGCTGTATTGATTACCGTGGCTGCTGCTATAGTAACAGTGAACCTTATATCAATCGTCCTTTTTTTAAAAAACCGCAGTCTTCGCACTCGTGCCATGTACCTAGTTATAAACCTGACCGTAGCTGATATGTTTGTCGGAGGATTTTCTCACTTTCTTCTATTTCAACACCTCTCAGACACATGCGACATTACGAAAATGAACTTAAGCCTGGAATTGATTGTGATAATTACCTTTCTCCACCTCTGGTTTCCTCTGACCTCTCTAACAAACATTGCAGCGATTTCATTAGATCGGATGCATGCAACAATTCGTCCCTTCAGGCATCGCCTCATCAAAAAGTGGGTCTACTGGGTAACAATTGCTGGTGTCTGGGTTTTAGCTGCAATGGTATCAACTGCCGCTTCAATACTTAGACAATATGGGGAAGAATGGTCACATCATCTTTACTTAGTGCATTCATACTGTTTTTTGTTTCTATTTGTTATCTTTGTTTCTTACTCTTCCATTGTTGTTAAATTTTTGTGTGGAGCGCATCCCCAGCACCATGGTGCAGCCAACAGAAAAAGGAAACTGACCGTAACATTATTCATAATGACTATCGTATCCTTACTGATGTGGCTACCATTTACGGTTTATTGTTTTCATTTATCTCAATCTAGTATTAGGAAATTCCTTTCTTTCCAGGAATTAAAACGTTTGGACTGTTTTTTAACCATTCTTTTTTATATGAACTCGCTTGTTAATCCCATCGTTTACACAATCAGAATTCCAGAGTTTAGGAAAGCTCTCCTGCTGTTATTTAAACGTCAACGAAGACAAAATGCCCAAGATATTCCTCTTCATGCGCTTTAATGTACTTTGTTTAACACTTGGAATCCAACTAATGATTTCGTCATCTTCATAACAACAAAAAAAAAACGTAGTTGATTGTATACTATTATTGCGGCCTTTAAAGTTCAATAAAAAGGTTGCAAATAAATGTTGTGGTGCAAGTTTTTCCTTGGTTCAAATGCTTTTTTCCTTTGTTTTAAACTCTGATTCTCAATCGTACATAACCATACCGCAGCACTAAGGAAAACAAAATCTAAACCATTGATAAGTTGAACCACAGTATGTCTTCAAATACTACAACTAAATATAGAGACGGTTAGTAGTCTCGTTTATCTTTTCGTTACGTTTAGTATGCTTCCAAAATGGAAAGATATCATTTAGATTTCCTTGTTTAGAGTTAGTCATTATGATTGTGGTCGCAAAACATGAAATATATCCATTATGTACATAAAGCGCAGAAGTTGTTGTTAAGTTCTTAATTTGTTTTTTCACAACGTGATAGCTACTTTAACAATGCGACCTGTTTTGAAGATAAAATACCTCTGTTACTAAAATCAGCATTTTAAGACACTTCAATAAAGCTGCTATTTATATAAACAGGATTTCTTTACGTTCTTATCTGTGTCTGGAATATCACAAGGAATGGGCCGGAAAACCGCTGAAATGGGAAAAGCACACTTCAGTGTCCTTCAGATGGGAAAAGTCAGAAGATTGTTAAAAGTGTCTTTTTTTTTTTTCCAATTTTAGGAGAGGATTATAAGAATGTTGTTTTTCCTCGTTGTGTGGTTAAGGACATTTGTGTACAGCTTGCCAGATACATTCAGGACTCTTTCTGCCACTATTCAATGATGAACATTTCCGGGTCTTTTTTTGAGAGATAATATATAGCCAAATCTGGGAAGGGAAGTCAATTGAAAAACTTTGAAAATCATAGATGAATGAAGAGTCATCAAACTATTTAGCCTTTCTCGAGAAGCTTCAAACATGTATTTTACGTCAGAAAACTTTCCCCTGATGGAGACATATCAAATAGTCCGGACTGAATATTGTCATCACTGGAAACTAAATCCAGTAAATCCATCTTGTCAGTTCGTGTCCTTAAACTGCGCCATGAATTCTTGGTGAAAGGTTTTTAGTCGCCCAAACATTGGAGCGAACGTCTCCTCAGAAGGAAGAATAGTGATCCTACCAAGAAAGATTAAAACATGAAACCGTTTAAAGTTATTTCCTTCGTATGGATAGTGGGTCTGAAAAATCAAAACGTTTTGGATTATTTTAACCCATAATGTGGCGATAAAACTTGGTCCAATTTCATCAGACTTTCACACGCTGACAGAACGTCGCTTTTACAGACAAGTTGCTTTTAGGACGCCTTTTCCTATGTAAGTTTAAGCTCTGGTCCATACCGTATAATCCCGGTTGTAAGCCCTTCTATTTGTACATACCAACCCAGTTGCAGGCCCTCCACTAAGACCCCATCACCCCGGCTATGAGCCGATCTGTTTATACCCTTATTGCTTTCGTCAGAACGCATCCTAATTTGGTGTTCCTGTGGTACAAAGGCAGAATTCTTCGGGGTTGGGGGGAAAGAGGGGTCTCTTCAAATTTAGAGGTGTAGTCAATCTAATAAATCTAAATATAGTAGACAAGCCTGTGAAAACCTTGGGCGCAAATGATATCACACGGAGGTTTTTGAAATCATCAAAGTTTCGACCTGAAGTTGATGGCTCTTGTAGATTCAAATCTTACCTGTAGTAAAAGTTGTTACCGCTGCCTTTCATATCAAAAACGTGGCCAGGAATCATGTAAATTCCAGTTTTCTCCAGCGCCTGCCAACAGTAAAACTCGTCTGGTGGCATTTCCTTGGCCTAAATAACAATGACAATTATACAAACAAAACAATTATACAAACAACTTAGTACACGTTACTTTTGTCCACCCCAAAATCCTTTCACTTCGCTCACCAAACAGACCACATACATACTTTCCTTGTGATGGGAATATTTGTATTTTAAAGAATCCCTCGATGAAGCCTTCTCTGGGAGCTGTTACTAGATCGATACGACATATGGAATTTAGGAATGCAATTTGGAAAGTCGAGAAAATGAAATTTTAATTTTCCCGGAACATTATCAGCAGCCTGAATAATATGTGAGCCTATAGCGTCCCTTTCACTTTTTCTAACCGAAGAACGCCTTTTGTGAAAACTGACACGGCGGGAAACGGGTTGGCATTCCACTAATATAAGGTGCATCAACGAGAATCTTGGCTTCTTGATCGCACGTTGTGGATTCCGGATTTTATGTTGTTGATCCGGGATGGCGGGTACTGGATTCAGTATTCCTTGTCCATGAAACGTGGATTCCAGATTCCAATCGTTAGCGAGATTTCGGGCTTCATATATAGAGGAGGCCCCAGCTGTTCAAAAGCTGGATAACGCCATCCACCGGATAAATCTCTATCCAGTGGATAGTACAATTGGTTTCGCTCATACTTATCTATCGCATAGTGATTTATTCGGTGGATAGCGCTGCCCATCTTATGAACAACCGGGTCTGAATTCCAAATTTCAAACCCCTGAACTGATTCCGGATCAGTCTACAAGAAAAAAATTCCCGGGTTCCGGATTATGGATTACCGTACACCTAGGATATCCATTACTGACAGTATTCTAATCCGGATTCCCGTACACCTACCGAATTCCACAAGTAAAAAAATTCCCGGATTCCGGAATTCGGATTACCGTACACCTACGATATCCATTACTGACAGTATTTTGCAGTGCTAGAAATCAAGACCAGAAACAAGACATGATACCTTGGCTGCCTCGAAAGCTTTCTTTGGAAGCGTTATCCTCGGAAACGCATACATTGCACCTGCCACCTCGTTACACTTAACATTTTCCATTGAGTTAAGAACCTCCGTTGTTATCTTTGCTTTCTTAACTTCCTGTAAGAATCCTTGATGGATGTTACCTCCTGTAATACGGATAAAACACAAAATAATGCATTAGGCAAGATATGGGAATACTGGAGGTAATCACCTCTATAGAATTTCCCTAGTGCGTCGCAATTAAAGATCATTTTCTATGCATTTATAAGAAGATTGCCGAATGTTCCAGGAGAAAATAGAAAGTTTTGTTTACTCTACCTAGTGCCTTAGCGACTTCAGCACTTGGAATCTCACGACTCGAATCTCACGTTTTGTTTGGGCCAAAAGAATCAATGGAAACCTATCCTGGGTGCTGGAGACTTTATCTCCACTTGTGGCTTCGGCCTGCGGGCCGAAGGATCCAGCCACCTGCGAGAAAACCTCTGGTACCCAGGGTAAGAGAAAGAAGCTTTATTTGTTAAATCAGCTATCCCGTGGTAGGCATTTTGATTAGAGGCGTCACCTGACTAAGTATTGTATTATTCACAACTTCTATCTGTTTCGTGAAGAGCTACGGTTCAAATTATTACATTTTAGTTAAAACCTGGAAGTCGAGTTACAGCCTGAGCACTAGAGACAAGCTGAAAAAAAGAATAATACAACGCTAACAGAGGCTGGCAAAATGATGCAGGCGCTTTTAATGAAGGTGCTTGAGCCCATAATATAACCACCTTTACAGGGGAAGGGGTCTAATTATCTCCATGGGATTCATGGAAAATAATGTAAAATAAAGAAAATAAGAAATAAAAGAAATACATTGTGGGGCGCAAATAATAGCAAATAAATAAATAATACTACTACTGATAATAATGTTAATAATAATAATAATAATAATAATAATAATAATAATAATTATAATAATAACTTGTTAGCCAGTTTATTGTTTTTGTTCGTTACGTTTGATATATTGTTTGGGAGATATTTTTGTTTCATATGAAGCTGTGATTGATTTTGTCATTCACAACTAAGTTCTCACGTTCCATAGCGAATAATGACTCGATATTGCCATTATCAACCATATAAACTAGACAGCCATGACAGAGCCCCTTAAAAAAATACAAGAGAGATAAAGTAGCGCTGATTATGATCACGCGAGGCGCTTGAGTTTCTCTGGGTTAAGTTACAGTTAAGGAGCATACCTTTGAAAACGATTCATATGATTCATTGCCAGGCTTGGGAGGATTGCAGGTGAGTCCCATGATTACTTTGGGTTAGAAACCAAGCGTAATGAACACAGACTGAGGACCTTACGATAAAGCGCTAACAGCTTCCTCTGCAAGCACTTCGAGACTCGCGCGACACAGGGCGAATAACTGGAAATAAGAGAAGCGCGAAGCTTTATGGGAAGAGTAAGAAAGGAGAGCAAAGCCTCCTTTTCACATCCCGCCGTTCTTTGCGCGTAGTGTGAGAGACGCCTAAGTACGATGAAGTTACATCTGAACTATTGCAATTTTTTGTTTAACTGCCCAATACCCTGACCACCATAGAACAAAATAAAGCAACAACAGGAACAAACAACACAAAGCAAAATATAACGAAAAGGGAAACACAAGCAGCCAGGCTTGTCTAGGACATGGGAAATGTTAATAAATCATCGTAGAAGTACTAAAATACTTTCGCTCTAACCAAAAGTTAACTAATATAAGGTACTTCCAAGTATTCAACCTGGAGATTTTGGACTAGGGTTTGAGGCAGCCCTTTCGTTAGGGACCTCTGTCCCATTTCACTTCATGCGATATCGTGGAAGGGCAACTTCTTGCACTCAGGTAAGTTTTAACTCGAGACCTGAGTTGATCATTGAATCCTACGAGCTCTATATATCCACCTCTGAGCCCACATCTGCAAGGAACAACAATGAAGTAAGTCGAGTAGTCTGCATGGGTAGAGGAACAATTGACCCATTGCAGCTTGTCATCGGCATGTTACGAAACCGTCATGATGGAGAGCAAGGTTGTTTACTGTTTACAAAAATACAGTTGGAAAGAACCGGTAAATGGAACACCTGACAACTTTTCGGGACGTTTCAGTGGAAACTTTTGCAGGAATAACGGATCGACCGGAATGTCTGAAAAGGTTTTTCTGTCTTTCCGGTGGTGTTTCTTTTGTTCAAAGCCACCCTTGATACCACTTTAAGGTTTTCGCGCCCGTTTTTCGGTAAATGAAACTGATTTGTACAAATGGTAAACGCGATTCCGGGACGACATCTACTAGCAATGAATTTTGCTTACCACTTGCCCACTGAACCGTGAACCGAATGGTATGTCCGTGTAAACGGTAAACAACCCAAGACACGCATTGGGAGAGGACAAACCAGGGATTTCACTAAGATCTCAAGTTGCTGGGTAAATGCGACAAGTAGGCAGGGAATATAACAGCTAGGGATTTCTTTTGGTCTTATTTTTCTTCTATTTTCCTATGAAGGTAGCTGGGGGCCACGTTCATAGCAACCGGGGAAAATCCCCGGCCCCCGCCTCTTAATGACAGCCCTGCAAAACATAGGAAATTGCAATTATAAATGAAGTGAGCTCTTTGTTTGTCTTGTCTCAAAGCGCCCCTCCCTAACTCCCCAGCATGGCAATTTTGTACAAGTTTTGCATCAAGTTTTTCCCAAGTCAGTACAGTTAAAAAGAAAACGCACGCGCAAAGAGTGCAAATGCGAAGAATTTTTCTTACAAACAAGGCTTGGGGGTGAAATTAGCTCATTTAAGGCGTAATCTCGCACAAGGGCCATTTCCCGGGATAAGCAAGTCCAGAAAGTTGCACAACTGGTCACAATTTTTTTATCCATGATTACAACCAAACTTGTGTCCGACAGTCACCTTTGGCAATAGCCAACTGACTAGTCTCGTAACCAGACCTCTTGTTGATCTCTTCGACTTCGTCTACAAGAGATCTGGGTTGGAGATTACCGACCGTTAACCGTTAAGTACAGATGAAGAATCCACCTCAAGACGATAATATCCACCAAGTGTTTCCTGTCTTTTCTTGCGCCAAAAAAGAGGAAATGTCAAGCCAAAGACAAAATAATGTTTTTAATGAACATGCAAAATACGTCGTAGCAAAGTGAACATTTAATAGCGATGAAGGAAATACAAAAAACTTGATAAGGACTGCTAGGGAAAGGAGAACTGCGACTCTCATCAGTATAAATTCAGAGAAAAGTCTTTCCGGGACTTTGACAAGTGACCCCTTAACCCTTTAACTTTCCGCAGAATGAATGATGGAGTCGAGTAAGGAATTCAAGTTTTAACTAACTTTAGAGTCTGTGGACGAAATCCTTTGGCTTTTGGTGTGACCCTTCAAATGAAGCCTTGTTGTTTATACTTTCATGTGGTACTAATTGTTTCTAAGCATTTTAAAAAAGGAAATTTGTAATTTGTAATTGGGAGTGCAAGGGTTAATAATGGTTTGTCTGTGGTTATGAATGTACAATCAAATAAGCCCGGCAAACAGAGCCTAAGGGTACAAAATTGGCACTTAATCATTCTTGTCTACTTCCTGAAGGTGGCCTCAAACACAAACAAACAAACAAGAGGAAAAACACACACGCACAACTTACTCTCCCGTGTACCCTTTGGCACTGGAATGAAGAGAGATCAATTGAAATCCGCTATACTCGTCTCCCAGGTCCCTAAAGACTTTTTTGCACGAGTGAAATTGGGCTCCCTCAGCGTACACGTTGTCTTGGTAAACTTCATCGGCGAATAAAACTTACTTCTCACGAGCACAAAACTTGATTACTTCTTGAATGTCTTCATCCGTCAACACCTGACCGATATATAAACAAGAAGCAAACGTGACTAAAGTTAATGGATAAACGAAGGACAGAACAAGTTTAATTACATTTTATAGTTAAACTCTGATATAACGAACACCTCGGTTTAACGTAGAATCTCTATGTAAAGGACACCCTAGTTTAACGACTGCCTAGATAATGAACATCCCGGTATAAGGAGGACTTCATCAATAAAAGGGGGAAAAAAAACACCCCGGTAAAAAGAACCCCTATATAGCTACCACCTTGGTATAAGGAACGCCCTTTTATAAGGGACACCCCGTGAAAAGAAAGCTCAAACGCATTAACCTGTGTGCTCAAACAATGTCGAGAGTAAATAGAGACATTTTATTATCATTGCCATCTTCATCATTATCATCATCATCATCATCATCTTCATTGCTATTATTGCAGGTAATTACAAATAGATATATATTCAATGTACCTGTTGGATTGCCTGGATTTATCAGCACAAGAGCTCTTGGTAAACAGTGCGGCCTTGCCCCATCCAGCTTTTTCTTTAGTTCAGACATATTCAAACCCCAGTTGTTGTCTTCGTCAAGAAGGTAAAATATCTTTAGGATAAAAAATAGAAAAAAAATTGTGTAGAACGTAATTTTCCCCTGGGGTCTCTGAGGAAGAATGCCGGAGTTTGAAGTAATAAATTCTCGCTGAAACAAAACTGGAACCAAGTTCTTAGATTTATTCCGGTTGACGGATAGTTTTGGGAACTTTAAGCTAAGGCTGGTCCAGTTTTCACTAATCGTAATTAGAAGTGCAAAGGGTTATGATTTAGTGAAAAAGAAGTCCGATTCCGCTTACGACTTCGTCGCTTACAAAGTCAGTAGTGAAGACTACAAGGTTGTTACACATGTAAGGAGAAGCCGCAGGTCAGTCTTTCACAACATGCCACAGTGCTTAGGACCGAGTAATGTGACTGATTTATTCCTCATCGTTATTACTATATTGTAAGCGGCGGAGTCGTAAGCAGAGTCGGAAGACAAAGACGTTCCGATTCTTGGGACTCCGATTTCGGCCTTTAAGCTTATGAAACCGTTTACGACTCCGAGTAGGACCGCCAGGCCACTGTGGTTAGTGAAAATCAGCCAAACTTGGACGAATTTTGTGCAGCGAAGAAGCTCACTTGCTCGAACACCACAAAGCGTTTTTTGTTTTGTAATATTTTGCTTTTCCAGTAGTGGTTCGCACGCGCCAACGGCTCTTAAAGATGGAAAATCTGCTTGCAAAATACAGGAGTAGACTTTCGGGATGTGAATAATTAATTCAAATTTACAGCCACCTTTTAGAGTCTCAAGTCTCTTTCTTCTTAACAGTTATCTGACGTTACTATTTACTGCTCAGCAAGCGTGAAAAGCGAAGTAAAGCCGCGACAGCACGCGCGAAGCGTGTGCGAGAGAGCGCTCCACCCTCCTCGCACTCCTTTCCGCTGCCCCTCCCACACAAAACCGCCAGCTACGCAGACTAAGTAGAGGAAAATGCGTGAACGATAGTGAAAACAACTCCTAAAATAAGACGCAACACGCGTGTCACTTCTCGAGGGAAGTAGCCTGTTCTAGGCGTTCAGATAATAGAGCGAGGTCAAAAAATTAATTAACGAGGAAAATAAATAACGGGAGAGACTACAGAGGGAGAGTTTCCTCGCTCTCGCCCCACTCTCCCCTCGTTTCCTCCGCGTACGATTTAACCAAAACACTGCGTTCTACTATTTGAACGCCTGGAACAGGCTACGCGGGAAGCGACGCCAAGTGACACGAATGGGTATTACCAGGTGTGTGTTGTGTTGCAGTAGCCTCGCCTGATACATGCTATATCCAGGGATAGGAATCATTTCCCCAGCTCGACCCTTTCCTTCCGTGATTCCTGTTGAAATAATTCCCGTCATGACCTGTGTGGCCAAACAAACCATTATTTTTTCAGTTACGACTAGGTAAAGCTGTGCACAGAGTACCCACTTGGCAGCTGTTTTACTTTGCAGAATGAATTTTCAAGAAAAGGAGAACTGACAAACAGGGTTGGTTAACTGAACCAACAACTCTGAAAACAACTCAATAATAGTTTCAGTTTATATAGCCTGAGAAAACAGTCATAACATTTTGCGATGCCACCACTGGTTTCCGTGCGAAATGACGTCAGTGAGGAACAAACGCGGCAGAAATTTCATACTGGTGTCAGTTGTGTCACTGGCCAGATCAGGGTAGTGCTTTTGATTGGCTGAAGCGGATTTTCCTTGAGGCACGATCAATCAGGAGCTCTACCCAGTTCTCAGGGTCTACTGCTGAAGCTTTCTTAATGGACACTGTTACATTGTATAAGCTAGGCAGATATCAGAACTGCCCGCAGTAGGCTACTTGTGGCTACCTTTGTAATTAAAAACCTCATTACCAGCAGCTAGTGCCTACCAGAATCACTCCTGTAAGCCCGCGCTCCAGTAGCCTCCCTCGCAGACGTTCTTAGTGGTTCGTCACGCGTTCCTGCCTCATTAACGTCTACTGAACCGAAAGATAAATTCCTTTCCCATTGTACGCAAATATCAGCTGGACATCACATGAGATTACCGGAGGTCCAATGGGCGCTGTTGAAGTCAAAGTGTTGACTAGCCAAACACATACGCAAAAGCTCGGTAGAGTGTGATACGTGACCAAAAATTTTTGCTCCGGACGAGAATCTAGGAGATATATAGCGTTGGCTTCTTGTATATTTCTCTCTGTAAAGGCTGGATTATATGTAATTTGCTCATAAACATGTTCTTTGGGTGATGCAATGGCGGGCAGGGTTACCTTGTAACTGAACAAAGGGCAGAATTTTTTTGCACACTTCATTGTTTTTTAGTAAAGCCGACTTCTGTTCGGCTAATTTAACCTCCCAGCCTAATTTTTTTCAATGAGATTGTGAGGGTAGCTTCTAGTACGAACGTTTCTGAGTTAAATGGGTAGTTTGTTCTAAATCAGTATAAATCTTTGCTTTTAGTTTAAGTACGGTACAAACGAGAGCACTGACCTGTCTCAACAATATGGTGACAGCCTTAGACGCTGATCTACTAGGAGGAGAGGTGGCGCTTGGACAGTTGTGGTGTTCGCTGTTCACTCTAACTTTTGCCGCTGAAAGTAAGTGGAAATGTTTTGTACTAATTCTTTACAATGGACCTTTCCACGGTTTTTTTTAAAGTTTGGCGAGGGCCAGTTAGGGAATATTCACCGATACTGCCAAATAAAGTTCCTTAACCCTTTCCACTTACTTTTCCGCTGAAAGTAAGTGGAAATGTTTTGTACTAATTCTTTACAATGGACCCTTCCACGGTTTTTTTTTTCAACGTTTGATGGGATCCAGTTAGGGAATATTCATCGATACTGCCAGATAGAGTTCGTTAACCCTTTCACTGCCAAATTTAGCCAAAAGCAAATTTCGACCAAATTTTCAAATTCATTTTGTGAAATTTTGACAAACAAATAGCACCATGTGTAAGTACAGGCAGAGAGCTTTCATTTAAATGGTCACATCATAGGATTTAGTCCACAGACTAAAAAGTTGGAGTCACCTTACAAAACTCCATCAAGTATTGTGGCAGTGAAAGGGTTAATTGAAATTAGTAAACTGATCAAGTTTGAAGGTAATACATGTAAATTGAGCGAAGGTATTCCTCAGCAAAGTCGCGCAGCCGTTACAGACTTTTGTAAAATTTCGAAAATTTGCAAAGCTATATCTTCGTTAGTTTTCAACAAATCACTCTTTACCTCGACTTTATGACTAGTTTTTTAAGGTCCTTTTTATAGCGGTATCGACGGGTTTTCGCTAACAGGTTCACAACAAAAGTTGAAAAAACCGTGGATGGGTCTATTGCAGAACGAACTAAGTTAACTTTACCGTGACGCTCACTGATTGGCTCAAAGAATCACGTGCCATTTCCTCAACCAATCACGGTATTGCTCAAACGCGTTTTCGCGGGCTCAGCGATAGGCACTTGTTTTTGCTTTCAGTTCTTCTAACTCTACCTAGATTGTTTGCATCTGCTTTTTGAAATATTAATAGTTACTCTATTTTGGGCCACAATTTTTATTGTAAAACTGCTATTTCTTTAACCTTAGCCAGAAGATTTGTGTACCACGAGGAGGATTTTCTAGAGGCAGCCACTGGAGTTCTACGATCAGTGATTGACAAACTGGTTTCACTGCAAGAGCTTCAAGTAAGTTACTAATCGTTTTTTTTTTTACGTTTTAGATCTGGCTTGCCTAGGGCTCACTCACTTTTTAAAGCGTATACATGCAGATGAAACAAGTCAATGGCCGTCGATATAATCACCAATTTTTGTCAGCTGTAAAAAGTAACCAGACCGACGCAATTATTTGGTTATCTTCCGGTAAAAAAAGGCGAAGGCTTTGAAAAGCGACTCTACGTGAACGTCTGGCAGCTTGGAAATGATAATGGGCCTCTTGGGCTATTGACTCAGAGCCCATTCGGGCTCAAGAAGTAATTGTTTTAGTAAAATCCAACTAGTTGGTCAAAAATATCGAGACAAAACAACTTTAGCTAGTTAAAGCTAGACTTGAATCCCTTTTTGCCGCCAAAAAGCCGGCGCTTTCCGCCTACTAGTGGGCTATAACATATAGCCTAGTAGTAGCTCAACCAATCAGAATGCAGCATTGATAATAGACCACTAGTTGGATTTTACTAATGATACATAGTTCCTCCAAAATATTTTTTCTATGGTAGAACGGGCAACAAAAATGGTACACGTGTTTTGCAACATTGCTGCAAAACGGGTTGAAAAGCTATGTTGCGTGTTTTACCACCCGCGTTCAAGCTTGTCTTGTAACAAATCAAGTTGTGCGAAAGGTTTGAACCTAGGAGTCATTTCAAAAGTAGGTTGAGTTTGATCGTCCGGATGAACGTAGTCCTGAATAGGACTGTTGTTGTTGACAGTGAGAGACGTTTCGACAACCTGTGCGGTAGTCCTCTTCATAGTCAAAGTGAGTTGTATCACGTCAGTTAATGGTATTATACTCTGGTTATTGATCTGATTGGTTAATTACGTCGCAATGTTATTGGTCGTCTGTCAGTTAAACCGTGATGTTATTGGCTATGAAGACTTGTAATCAGTATTTGGTGCGTTTCGATCCGTCTATTGTCACAGTTAAACAGTAGTCTATTGTTAGTCAAATTGTCAGTTCTCCAGTCGTTCTCTCGTAGTTAGTTTTGCTCGTCAATAAGTCGTTTGTACAGCGCTGGTAACTCTTGGCTACGATTCAGTGGCGTTTGTTCTAAGTTAGTAAACCAGCTTTCTAAAGTAAGACGTTGATAGTAGTCTGTAGAAATCAAGTTGTTGCATGTTGCGTAAGTACTGACTTCTTATTGGCTAAAATTACGCAGGAGTCGCGCAATACACGGTAGATCCATCACCTTCAGCACAATGACTTTGCCTTGGGCCGGTAAAACGCGCAACCCGTACAGATTTTGTTACAAAAAGTAGAAGTATTCTCTACTTTCTGCGACAACTTGTCACAACCTGGAACAACCTGATTTGTTGAAGCTGGGTTTAAACTCGCTCGTTTGCAAGACACATTGAGCAGCTGATCATAGGTGAAAGCTGAATTTGGGTTTTTTTTTGTAGTGTATAACAGCTGAACATGTGACCATATTGTGCCGTGTTACCGTCGAAACCTCATGTGAAGCAGTGAAAGTCAAGCTGATATGCATTCTGGGATTCATCGGCAAGATGGCCGCCAGAAAAGACAACAGGCTGGAGATCCTGAAGGTTTGCTTCCCCTTTTAATTATCTTTATTTAGACAACACTAATGGAGGATCTTGGAAGATGATTAAATTAGCCCTAGATCAAGTTTATGTTATGTAAGGTATAATTTGTGAGTGCTTTTTACTTGTACATTTAGAGCAACTGAATAGTTTTCTTGCTTACCATGGTGAAAACAGCGCAATTAGGTCGTCATCCACTGAGTCAAAATTTAGAGCCATTTGTCGTGAATTGTTGACTCTTAGCGAAAAAGGTTCAGGGCGGATTTCTCAATTTTCTGTCTCTCATCTTTGAGCTTTGCCGTTTTTTTTTTAGTGCCTTAGTGTTGTTTTTCATGGGATCCTAAGAATCACCCAAGCTTCTTTTTTTATTAGTCTTTAGGTACTGTCTTCCGTGATATTGTGGTCGGTCAATACAGTCTCTGGGTGATATGTGAAGCCTTGGACGCCATTTTTGATACTTTCGCCGACGGACCGCTGGTTAACGCTGCTGCAGACTCTATTGGTCTCAAGATCAACCTTCAACAGTTGGTACCAGTTCTAAAAGCTAGGGTAAGGAACAGTCACATACAAGTCAGTTTTCCTTAGTTTGATCATATCGATTGAGTGGCTAGCGCGGGAAACATCACGTTCTTAATTTTTTTTTTTGAAAAATAACCAATTTCGCGCTTCCCTGATTTAAGTGTCGTTTTCTTACAGTTTAGGAAATGCCGAGGAATCAGTGTACAAAATTTTTCGAAATGTTTTCCCGATTTAATCACCTTTACCTATCAAATCGTATCAAATAAAATGGTATTCAACTGATTTTTGAATGCAGTTTCGTAATTTTGTTTTGGTTTTAATTTTTATAAATCTTCAAACACCGAATTCGTGCGTTGTTGAAAAAGTTAGACTAACTAAGCTTTGTTTTCAAAGAGAAGTACTCTTTTCTAAGAATCGCATTTGTTGTTTTTCAGGTAAAAACTGAGAGAAGAACTCTTGGGGATCATTATCCTTTGATAGATGCCGCGAGAGTGAACTTAGCGAGGTTTATAAAATACAAACAGAAAGGTCATTAGGAAGTGTAATGGCAGACCGCTACCCGTCAAATGCTCTTCGCCCTCTCAGGAATCCCGGAGCCTTCATCTCTTTCCCAAAATTTGGCGGTCACAGCGTATTAGATTTTAAGGCTTTTTTAATTCATTCATCTTTCGCGCCACCATTAAAAGGTTTCAGCTCATTAAAGCCGAATAGGATTTCCAGCTATTAAACTACAGTCATTGACGGCGTTTGGTGTCCTGTGTAGCTAGTTAAACTGATTCATCGGTTAGTCGTTGAAGTTTATGTTTGAGCTTAGAGTCACCAGAATCTAGTGTGAAGGAGGCAATTCCAGTCGCGAGGAGTACAGTATGAAAAGAATCTTCAATCGTGGAAGTCTAACGCGCTGGAATACTTTAGTGGAACTAGGTGGAGGCTCCGAGACGATAGAGTTTCTGGCCATTTTTAAACTGGTTAAATTGCGTGGACAAATTGGACCTGTTTAACCTGTTTAAACACGTTTGGACGGACGAATTGATGTTAGAAACGCCGACTGACTATAATAATAAGAGTTAAATCCACGAACATCCGGGTTATTGAAATAATCTTACCCAAACCAGAATAAGTTTCTCATCTCGAAAACATCAAGCGCATTTCAGTCAAATTCAAAGTTGTTTAGACATCCCTTTTCGTACTTTGATAATTCTGGTGATCAGTAGTCAAAGAATTTTTCACCAAGTTTTATGACAGCAAGGACTGAATATTCACGGCACAATTGGAGTGAATTATTAACGAATTTTTAAGACTATCAGTATAGTAGCTTTTATAGACGAATGGTATTATCGTTCATCGTCTCATTTTCTTTTCCCTGATGGGTGATCATATCTTTTAACCTCTGCTGTCAACGTAGTTAGATTCTCTCGCTTCACGTGTTTTCTTTTTAAGACACAGATCGGAGTTCGAATCAGAGTGTGAATCATAGTCAAGACTAAATTTTTCTGAACAAGTTGTGTCATTCATACGGAGAATGTTCGTCTTGTGTAATCTCAGTCATTTGGAGCCAGGGGTATATTTATTTCTCCGGGTAATGTCTATTTAGAGGTCACCTACCCTGAATGCCAGAGTCTTTTCATGCGCGGTTTCCGGTTTCTATCATATCTTTATACAGTGACCTGCGTCTCTTTTTTGCTACTTCGCCTCTTGCTGCTTCGGCCTTCGGCCGACCCGAATCATCCCCTCTGCAGTTGATCGCTTCGCGCGCTATCAAAAAACTCTGGTACACAGGGCTGTAGCCACTTGAGGTTGGTCGCTTAAAAGAGGCTGGTCGGGCTGTTTTAAAAACGGCCTGGCGTAATAGTTAATCTTCGAGGGTGCCTAGTGTTCTAAGTATCGAATTAAGAAAGAGTTTATCATTCTGTAAACAGCTTCTGAAAATATGATAACTTATCTGACACTGTAAATATGCAACAATCGTGCAATAAATGAAGTATACACTTAAATGAAGAGACGACTTCTCGTCAAAGCTGCTGGAATTCTCGCGTAAGGAAAACGTACGCCATTAAAATTTTGGAGTTAAGCGCCATGAGAAAGGAAACGAGAAAACTCAGTCGACGAGACACAGAACTCAAGAAAAATGTGTACTTTGCCATTTTTATCCTCCTCGAAAAGAATAATTAATTATTAAATCAAAGAGGGAATTCTTTGAAGCAGAAAGCAACTTACACATAAATACAAAACAATCTGTTGGTGTTTTGAGGTACCGCGAGCAAAGATACCCCTAACGCTACCCCCTTGACGAAGTTGGGTCGTTTGCGACTACCCACAAACCTTATGACCAGCGGTATAAAAATGACTAAGGGACTACTGATTGGTGTTAAGCACTATTTTAATTAGTAAATAAAAACATGCTTATGAGATGTCGTTTTGGCCTAAGTGTCTGGTCCAAAAAAATATTCGCGCAAGGGAAAATTAAATGAAAAAAAATTTATGCACGCCAATTAACCTTAAAAAAATATTCATGCTATGGCCTAAAAAAATTCAAACAAGGAATTTGATGACAAAAAAAATTCCTGCGGCTCGAAAATTCCCCACCCCCCCATAACTTTTCGAATGGTCCGTCCCTTAGGACACAAAAGGGGGTCCGATTGTGCCCGGCGTTCCTAGCGGAGACTGTGGAAACTGGGACTAAGAATTGTTCCGTGATCGAAGTCACGCATGTTTTGCGAAGAAAGCTTAAGAAAGATTAAATTTAGAGCTTTTCCGAAAAGTGTCGGTCCACGAATTCTGTCGCTTGAAAGCGTTGATTACTTTGGAACAGGTGAACATTACTGAGTGGTCGAAAACAATAATAATCATAAGACTGCCAAATATTTCGGGAATAAATCGGAATTTTTTTGTTTTGGAGGCAATGTCGCAAATGTTTGGGTGACAATACAATACAATACAATTCAATAAAATGCAAAGCAATGCAATGCAATGCAATGCAATACAATACAATACAATAAAAATGCTATAATCTTTGTTTAACGCGGTCAAATGTGCTTAGCTAAATAGCTACTTTACAGACATGAAGGAAGAAGGTTTAAATTGTTACAATTCAGATAAAACCTGAAACATGTTATAACCGTAGCGGATTATGAGACATGCTTAAAAATAAGAGCACCAAACAGGAAAGGTCTAATTATTCCAATGGAATTCGTGCATATAGTGTAATCAAAAAACTAAAAGAAATTAATACATTTTGGCGCGCAAATAATAGCGGTGCCCTGGCGAGAGGAACTCATTCACTCGCCGCCAGTCCCTACGCAGGCCAAAGGATCTGTTAATAGTAAATTGTGTTCTCTTTTGTACTATCTTGCACTTCTGTTTTACTTGGCATAATTTTATCAAAAAAATTCAAGAAAAATTTAGGAACTATCGACTTGAAATATGTTATAATTTGAAACTGTAAGGACACCTAGAGAAACTACAGCTCGTGTCCTTATATACTTTGCTTGAATGATGCACGGACGCCGCTAAATAATCGTTGCAGGTGTCCATCAAATACAGGGTCGATTGGTTATGGGCTGATTAAAACAAGGAAGTTCAAGTTCACAAAAAGCATAATTCTGCAGCAAATTTTTAGTTATTTAGTGGGGGTAGATACATTTAGGGGTAAAAAAATGATGGCCAAGACAATTATTCATGGTAATTACTGAAGCTTTTAATAGTGAAATATTATTTCCCAAAACAGATGTGCAGATAATTTATAAGAACGTATAAATCGAGGAAAGATTATTTTTTCGCTGGAGTTACCTCCAACACAGACGTCTTTTACAAGCCCAACTGATATTTTCCAAGCAAAAACTATTAATATACTTTTTCGCTTCATCAGCGGGGACATCCAGCAAAGCATATGCGAAAGGTAAGTTATTTAAACAAAACGAAACGGCTGAACAAAACTAGCCTGTACACAGACGCTGTTTTATTATTCTTTTCGTTCTTTTCGAAAACATTGGCGAGCAAGAACGAGGGCGGAGCGCAAGAAAGAAAAATAAAGAATTTTCTCCTTCCTCAACCCCAAACCCCTTCCGCTGGCGGTCAGTAAATCCCCCGCGGTTTTTGTTTTTTATCACGCGCGCTCGACGGACTTTGAAGAGAAAACAGAGGGTCTGTGAACAGGCTAGAACAAAACGAAACATGTTAAAGGTTTTTACTGCGGTATCATGCAGTCAGTGAGCATAAATTTGATGTTAAACATACCAGTCATAGAGCGATAGATATACTAATCTCAAAGAAGCAAATATAAGTCCTACTTAGACCGCGGTTTAGGACATTCAGTTGACCTTCAGATCTTTTCAAGTGTAGTAGGGGCCCGGGGGGTACTTTAGGAATTTGTGGGTGGGGATGTGCCGCTGGGACCCTGGGACCCTTAACCTATACCAGAGCTAGTTCAGCTGAATTTTGCTACCCTATACTAGAGTAAACTCCCCAAATCCCCTATCCTAGAGTAGCTGTTTCCCTTGTCTAGCTAAAATCTTCAACCAACTGATCAGTTTCCTGAAAAATGATACCCTATTCTAGACCCAAACGCTCTGATTTATATACCCTATCCTAGAGTAAACTGCCTGAAAACCATACCCTTCACAGCGGCACATACCTATATAGCCCATATATGGCAGTACCCCCCCCGGGAGTAGGGGAACTCAACGACTGTTTTCTGTTAGAAGATCAAGCACAATCATTTTTTTCTGGAAATTTCTATAGATAGCTCGAGAAACTGGGTTAAAAGTTCTAGATGAAATTCATATAAGTTATTCGAAGTTTCAGTCTATTAACTGTTCTACAATTTTCTGAAGGTTTAGTCACCACTTAGTAAAAAAGGCCGGACTTCTAAAATTTTCGCCTTTGGAAACAGTAACGGAAAGGGGTATCGCAAAGCTGGGTTGGAGAATGGTTATATAGTTATTACGTATGGGAATCATTCATCTGTTTGTGTCAATTGGTTTTCTAGTTTGTTTCATACTCCTCCATTGTTCTAAAATTTCTGTGTGGAGCAGTGAAATAATTATTGTATGTGTCGATCAAATAGTATAGGGCCGATTTGTTTTTTGTGCTGATTGACGAACAAAGTTCTAATTAAAAAATACATGGGGGTAGATATACTAAGCGGAAGATGATAAGCAAAGGAAATTTTTTAAGGTTAGCTTACTCTTTAGTGTAATCACAGGACGAAATAACGTGTTTCCGTATTTTGGAAACTCGACGGAAACGGGAAGTTGCTTATATCCGTCACGTTTCCGCCCTGCGGAAACATGGTGATCTAGTTTTCCATGGACGGGACGCGTTTCCGCCATGTTTCCGCGTCGGAAACGAACGATCATGTTTCCGCCACATTTCTGTCATCACATTTCCGTTCTTTCTTGTTTCCGTTACGTTTCAGGTGACGAATTTTTTTCTTTTTTTTAACCCATGTCCAAGATCGCATGATCAATGTTTCGTAAACTTTGCCTTGGCGTACAATCAAAGGTGAATAAAGGTAAATTTACTCTCGAGATTAAACGGTTCTCATGTATTACTCGCGCGCGTTGCATTGATGCAAAGACTGTGAAGTGTGCGAGGTTGCCATTGCTTTCCATTCTAAGTGATAAAAATCGCAGAGCTTACCAACAGCTTTCAATATTTGCCAGATTGATGTTAATCAGTACTAGTACTGGCGTAAAACTAAAATGCTCTTAGACGGAGAAAACAACAGAGAAAACAATAGAGAATGGGGCCTAGAACAGAGCGGAGTGCTGGTCAGCGGACTTTTCCTTTGCTCATGCTCATTACGGTCATTCTTTTTGGCGTCCATTTTGAAAGTGATTTCAACGGCTTCAAATTTGCCAGCTTCTATAGGTTCTAGGAGCGTGGAATCGGTATGTTTTTGCTTTCTGATGATACCACAAGACATCTAAGGGTTGTTATGTATATTTAGCGACCCATCGGCCTTCAGTAATCGATCGCTTCCCTCGTAAAGCGACTCTTTTCTGACACAGTGGAGCAGAATGTGAGACAAAAACCTCGTGATGCACAAGTATAATTTGAAAGTTGGAGTGTTTTACCGTGCTAAGGCTATCCAAGGCGGAGGATTGTGATGGAATACCGATAGTAAGACGAGGTAAGCTTAACAGTTTTCCATATTTCATTTTTGTGGTCTGTAGCATTTGAGATAATGCTTGGGAGACATATTTGTTGACACAAAGCTGTGATTGATAAGTACAGTAATTTCCCGAGCAGGAAACTGCGACATAATGAACCTGAATCCTCTTACTAAACAAGGCAAGGCGCTGCACTGTGAGGTCTGTGAAATGATTGTAGAAAAATGGTTAGAGGGTTCCAGTGATTTTGTTAAAAATAGTATATGCATGGTGAGTCCTGGGACTCATTTTGTGAATAGTCAAGAGTTCTGGCCTGTCCACATGCACAGCCAGTGAGTCCCAGTTAAAAAACAGGGAGTCCTTAATTGAAAATGCTTGGTATGGGCCTTTTAACCAGACAGTTAATCTGGAGACAGATGCCAAAACTTTTTATGACAGTTTACTAAAATGAAAATATAGTCCTATATATTTAAAGCACAAAAAGGCTAAAATATTTATATACATCTTTAAACAACAGCTACAGAAATCGCACAAACAGGATATTCTACCAACAAGTCTTCAAATCGATCGATCATCCTTTGCATCCTACGAGATGCATGCCATGAATTATTTTGCGTCTTTGGATAATTTTTTGTGTGAGGGACACAAGATGCAGAGGTAACAAAATCACTGGGGTTTGAAACCATTCCAAATAGTGCACCAGTTTAATTTACTGAGAAGGACGGTAACAAATATTGTTGATCGTTTCATATGTCCAGGAAGCCCCTACACAGAGTTTTTTAAACAGCGACGACCAAGTATGTATGCTACGGAAATGCAAAAACATTTAATCGAAAATCAGGTTGTTGACCTGCAAAGGTTCGATAAGTCATGTATTGACACGTGATTTCGGTTACTCTTGCAAAGAGTTGACAATAGTTCCAAAAGAGAGCTTAATCTAATAATATAATAGTGCTTGACTGAGAACACTCAAGAAAAAGTTGAAGCATATATTTTTTTTCAGTAACTGTGATCCCAGGAATAGGTACTTCTTTGACGAGAACTCGGTGATTAAAACAACTGGGAAGTGAAGTTACTGTTGAGCAAACTTGTGAAGCTCAGTCGTAGTTGACAACTATGTCTTGAAGTTCGCAATTTGATTCCCTAACTTGCTAAGCAATTGGCTACTTCATGATGTAGTACCCAATTTTCCAACGAACTTTGCAACATGGTGTGGTAAATAATGTGAAATCGACTGTAACAGAGTGATCCAGACTTTAAGAGCGCTTTCCATTTGTCGGAACTGGCCGGCCGGACCATTGTCCAACCAGTCGGTTTGATATTGAAATACGCTTTTGCCAAGAGTTTTTGCTGAACAACCATTTCCTTGGTGCATACTACTTAGGATTTGACTGATCTGGCTGGAGAGATTTGATTAAAATGGAAATTCTCATTGCGTTGGGAATGGTTTGGCCGGTCGGTTCTGACAAATGGAAAGCGCCCTAAGTCTTCATTTCAGTGGACAGCAAAACCAGCAGTGGAGTTAAACTAGTAAAACCACTTTTATTTATCCTGTATTACCCTGCAGTTCTATGCAAACATCATATTGACCAGGGGGAAGGAGGGTACTCCTTAAATGTGTTCTCTTGAAATCCAAACAATGTTCCCACAACTTGCAAAGCAACCAGCAGATTTGTTTACTGATCATTCCTTGAATATCCACACTCATAGCTCAGCATACATTGTTGTCAGTTAAGATGTTACATGGTTGCGGTGACTGTCACATTTTTTTTAGTTTCTCTTGCATCTTCAATACCAAGAAACAATTACAACATGTGAGAAAAACAAAGAGGCATGATATTTTTGTCAATTATTGACTATATTTTCTCTGTTGGTTCGCCTCTCACTGCTAAAATATTTACTTTAGGAAACACATGTACATGTATATCCAATATATCACATTGAATGTTTGGCTTTCAAGCTAGATCAAACTCTTTCGAATGAAAGAGTTTGATGCAGCTCAGCCATTCAACAAAACCCACTCACAAAAAAAAAGTGAATAGATCATTTGATTTTTGAATTCAGTCAAACATTGAGTTGGGTTATCAAACAAAGTGGAACTCACATAAGGAACACTTGAATGGAACAAAAACAAGCGTTTCAGTTCCAAGCAATTGATGACAAGTGTGTTAATTATTGATCTAGTGTGAAAGCAGTCAAGGCGATTTAAGATCCTGCTTCTTTTATTATTTCCATTTCAGAGTTAAATTCTAAAATAAACATTTTCTGTGAAAATGTCAATACATTTATTTTGTTTACCAAGGAAAAAGTCTTTAAATCTGCAAGTCGAAATCATCTTGGTAATCATCTCAGTTATTACTCTTCACTACATAATTGGCCTCAATAATATTGTAGCATATTCTGAATCCAGCACTTGTCAGATTTCCCTGGCTTGTTGAGTTGACTCAGTTTTCACATTTTATTTTTTTCCAATATAATTTGGTTTGTTTCGATTTTGTTCAGGCATCAAACTCTCCAGAAAGCTGGTTTGATATTGTTTGATGGCCAAACTGTTTTGTTCGGGGAGTTTGATGGGAACTTTGTTTTGCGTAATACATTGTACACGGAAGTATACATTTACTGCAGTAAATTATCTGCTGCCCACCAGGGTTATCGCTTTACAAGTTGTGAGAACATCATTTCTTGCACCCAGACCTTGTTACTTTCCCCTGCTTCCCCTGGTATTGACCCTGTACGTGTAGATGATAATGTACAACCTGAGGGAGGTTGTGCCCTT